ACTTAGTTTTTTATGTGGTATTAAACTTTGGACCTTGTGATTGTGACCTGAAAGCATTACCACTGTGATATAGACTGATCTATGAGTCAATAGCACAGTGATAGTGCTCTCAAGTCACAATTACAAGATTTATAATTCAATATCACATAAAAAATATCCTTATGAACAAGTTAACAGGTTATCTGTAAAACACTTCAAAATATTTGTATTAAAGTCAATGAACAAGTATTGTTATTTGAAAACAATTAAGTGTTATCTTTATTGAGGCTCAAAGAGCATTTATATTTATACATGTTTTTGATACACAAATAAATATAATAAAAATACAAAAATAGAAATACATAAGTCATGTGGCATATTAGTCTGGACACATAAAAGGAAAATAAGAAAAGAAAATAATTGATTCCTTATCTGAGAAATACTTTTTGCTCCTGTTTTCCTATACCTATTTTTTGGCAGGGGCGCCCTGGCTGTAATTTCAGACTTTCTAAATTCAGCATTTCTGGATATCAAACTTGAAGGAACCAATTCCTCAGGTACAATCTCTCCTGAAGAAATATCTGAGATAAGTTCTGATCCTTAATGCTCTGAATTATCTTGTTACTAACCTTTTCATATATGTTGAATCTAAGAAATCATTTTTCTCCTTGTCTTCCAATAATTTAAATGCTAATATAAGAATACTCTTGATATACATCAGAATTTGAAGCGTTATCAGATGCCAGAACGTCCTCATTTTGTGAGACCATCTGTTCATGAGGAATAAGAGATGCGAAATATCGACTATCATTTCCTTGTTCAAAATATCAGAATTCGAAGAATTATAGGATGCATCAGAATTTGAGATATTGTCAGATATCGGGGTATCCTGCATTGTGAGACTGTGTGATCAGGTGTATCATCAGAATTTACTAAAGATTGTGAAGCGTCTTTCGCAGAAAGCGCATTTTGTATATCTTGATAACACCGTGTTCTTGCATGATCTGTTCCTAGATTGATGAGACGTCGTATTGAAATTTCGTAATCGAATTTTTTTTTTGTCCTGCTTCTATTTTAAAAACCTAACCTCGATTTCTTCTTTATCTTATTTTAATTTTGTACTCTCGGCCTTGACCTCAGCATTCTCCTTTCTAAGCCCAAAAATCTCGACTAAAAGCTTCGAATTTAATTCTTACAACGAATCAATTTTTGATTGAGCAGATTGAGATTCAAGCTCTGATGACATGGTTTTTATATAAGGTGGAGATCTATTTAAACTATCGAGTTTAAAAATAATATATGTCGTGAAAAAACAATGACTGGAACACGATCATTATTTATGTATTTACATAGTGAAGCTTTGGAGAAAGTTTTTTTAAGAGTTTATTGGACTATTTACGCATCTCGGACGACGACCCATAATACTCTCCCTACGCGGAAAAAAAAAATATACGCCAACCCAAATTTTTCGCTATAGGCATGAATTTGCTTGATCTCTTTCACTTTTTTTTTAAAGCCAATTTTTCCAAATAATGTATATAGCTTACAAAAATTGTCCTTGGTTACCCCAGAAAGGAGAGCATAACATTACTGTAAATACGATTTCTTGCCTTGTATTTATTGTAAGGGTGGCTAGAGATAAAATAAAATAATCATCTGATTCCGGCACACTGATTACATTTATTTAAGTCATGTGAAACTGGACACCATAATTCTATCCAGTTTTATTACAAAATAAATGCTTACTATTCTGATGTAGAAAATACATAATATAAATTGATGGTAGAAGTAATTCTTACGCAGCATAACAATCTAACAAACGAGATAGTTCAAGTTTCTCTCCCTCGAACAACTTCCTCTTTTTCTTTGGATCAGGTCGATCCGCCATCCCAAAGTCGATCAGATACACATGACCCGCACTATCAAGTAAAACATTCTCCTCCCGGATGTCATTGTGAAGTACACCGCGTTTGTGAATTTCATTTAGTGCCTCAAGAGCCTTAGACTTTTGCTGTGTCGTTATCTTTTTATCATTACTTAAGTGCGTACCAACAAGAGTTGTACCAATGACATAGCACCATCCACCTCCATAGTAGCCATAACATACCAATTTTGGAATGTATTTTCCTTGAATATCTTTGAGATCTTTATAGATTTTGACTTCTTTTTGCATTTCTTTCAAGATATCTGGTGAGGCTTTGTATAAATCCACAGTCTTCAAGGCAATTTCTTCTCCGCAGAATTCGCAGAGTATTGTCTTTCCACTTCGTCCTTCGCCTAACAAGCTCTTAAACTCGAAGTCCGCAAAGCTAAAATTCTGCTGATTTGGGAGATTTGCCGAGTTGGAAGATGATCCCTGAGTTGAGTCCTCTTTTTTTGGAACCATTGATCGAATAATCCGTCTATTTTTCATTGTAGCGTCCGAACTCTCACTGTCTGGAACCGAAATTATATTAGGGTGGGGAGAAGGAACGCTAGCTCTTGCTTGCTTAGCTATATATGCATAAGCTTTAAGTACAGTTGGAGATTTCGACTGCGATGAAAGAGTTAATGAAACGAAAAGTTTTGATGGGGTCTCAGGCGGTCGACGCAAAAACCAATGATCATCATAGGTAGAGAGGACACCGTATTGAAGTTGCCTATCACACATATAGTTATAAATCTGCTGAATCACCATCTGTGCTTTTGAACTCGATTGATAAAATTTTGAAAAATTTCCTCCGCTGATCTCTCTTAAAACGAGTCCTCTTTTGATCTCGATACATAATATCAGTTGTATGGTGTAGTGACAATTAAAGTCTGGTATGCCTGGTTGCGGATCTTGCCATCTGGAAAATTCGTAATCTGGCCCCATGAGCGTATTTAATGCCTCACAAATATTGGTCTGGAAAGCAGTGCGAACGTCCTCTTCATAGCGCACATTCTTATACATTGTAAATTGCGGTTTTTCAAATTTCTGTTTTGGATCGGTAGAATCGAAAGTAAAACCATTCACGTCGTCGAAGAAGGATTCCCAAAGCGCCACTTCTATCGGGGGGTCACCACCCGCGTTAGTAGACGATGTTGAGCTAGAAGCGTTCAAAGCATAGTAAATAGGTGGTGTAACATACGACAACGCCTCTTCGAGAGTGAGAACTAGAAAATAGACGTGTCTGGAATAAATATTACGGATACGAAAAAATTTGCATATTGTGCTTAGTACCTACGTGGCAACTTGATGATTACATGAATACATTCTTCGGCAGGTGGGGAAGGGAAGTATTTTGAAATCTTTTTCGTCGCTAGAAGTTCGTCATTTTCTGGGAGTGCAAGGTCCGCTAACAAATCATTTCGATCGTCAGGAATTTCCACTTTCCAAAGCTTAAGTCTATCGGCGGCCCAACTATCAAATTCTGGCGCCTTCTCCGTCTTGATAACTTTCTTGAGATGACCGACAGTCAGATTGCCATCAATATCAACAGGAAAGGCAGTTGAGGTTCCTTGGACAAAACAGAAGAGAGTGATAGACATGGTTATATTTGGTTTTGAGGAGGGATATGTTCAGTTGCCAAACCTGATTTTGATTGGTCACTGATCATTCTTTGTTACGCAACCTATTAAGTCAATGTGTTACGCAATTAATTTTCAGGCATAATTGGCATTTTCATTAACTTGGAATTTTATTACTTTTTCTGCATAGCAGGACGAAGTCTAACTCCCTCCTCATTTATAGGTTCCACTTGAGGTGGCTGACTATCTTCAACATCGGGCATACTATGATCACTGTTATTCCGTGATATTATCTTTAAGGTTTGAAGATGAGTATGACGCATTAATTAAATTTCCGCCCGTATTATTTGTGTTATTGCTTGAATTTCCACCCGCATTGTTTGTATTATTCGCATTATCTCGATTATTAGTTTCGTCTCTTCGGGTTGGAGATGCGGACCGATCTCTTCGACCAGTGGGAGATTCACGGCGTCTCCTATTTAGCATCGATGAAATCTCCTCGACGGATTGTGCTAGTGTTATATTTCCCACATCTCTATTTCGCCGACGGTTTGAAGTATTAATAGTACGGATTCTATCAAATTCATTTTTTTTGGCCTATCCCAAAATGCGTACGAAATTTAGCAAAGTATTGCGCTCCCAATCGATTTCTCCGTGCTCTATGACTACCTGCCACATATTCACACATTGTCTAGAAACAAAGTCCCTAAAGTTTGTTAATAGCGAGCTAGATAAAAAAACAATGCTTTTATCATGCGAACTTACATTATAACTCCGAACAAGATTCGAAAATTTTTCTTTATAATGATAACCAGTAAAATTAGCATTATGCTCTTGATTGATTTTATCTGCAATACTATGCCAAAATCCGTTTCGAGGTTATGGTACTCTATATTTCTATTTCTTCGTTCTTCGATTAGAATATCTATATACGCATCTGTCCATTCTACCATTTTCAACCAGAGTTCAACCCGTATTTATATTTTAGTATATATTCATTATGAGAATGTATAACCAGACTTCAACCAGAGTTCATGCCATTTTCTGTTCATTTCTACTTATTTCGTGTTGCTCAAATTCGAATTGGTATTATACCCGAAATTAACAAAATTCACATATCTCGGATTTGTTTATCTCGGACCGGAATGACATCCCTATATTAATATCGCTGGAAAATTAAATAATATGTTTGTAATACACCCGAAATAGATTTTTATGTGTCAGATATGGAACTTCTACGGCAATATTTTATCGAATTTGAATCAACAACGTGCAATAAAAAAAATTGCTTTATTGAAACAATAAAAATATACAGGCACAGAAGCAGTCGAACGTATGGCGCAACAAAACGTTCACAGGTGCCGGATACGTCGGTATAAATGCATCGTTTATAAATGTCTATTGTATGCAAAGCAAGGAATTCTGTATCTAATAGGCATAGATTGAACGGTTCGATTTTGTATAAGTTTCGCCGGTATTTAAATCATAATAATAACCTTCATCATCGTCAACAGAAACTCCCATCTTCTTCGTTAATCATTGGTGAATTCATCGTCACTGGAGAAATTTTCTGGCTCATCGTCGGATAAAGCAGTAATTAAAGATTGTGGTTTATTATCATTGGCATTTGTATCACCTACTTCGGTTCCAGTAGATGCATTTATCGAAGCTTCTGGTAATTCCGAATATCGATCAATAGGTATACCTTATCTCAGCTTCGGGTCCTTATCATCGGTATATTCTATATCGGGCTTTTCGAAGTGATCTATAATCGTTTGAATCTAAGAATTAGTAAATTTTGAAATAGTATCCGCACTATACGTTTTGATATATTAAATCTTGTCAATTCCTATTTTTTCGAATAAACTGTCAATTCTTAAAAGTTTTTGTGTCTGCTTACATAAAGTTTTACGCTTGATGACGGGGTGAAAAAATCATATACTTGACCTTTCGCCTTCTTTTCTCCAACTTTATTGCTGACCATAATATCTTTATACATGCTTTTGAATTCTCTAGCATAGAAACACCAACGCAATGTTTCTTCTCTATTGGCTTCGATCACACTAATTTCCGCATCACATGCGTTTTTATATAGACTAATAATATCTCAATTATCTGGTGACAACTGGGACACGGCTGGAATAGATGGAGTTGTTGAAGTCTCATTATTTGGGCGAACCAAGTTCGCTGAAATTTCAGTCACATGCTTTTCTTCTTTAGATAAAATCATTTCTCGAATCAAGTCCTGTTCGTTTTTCCGCTCACGGGAAGTAGTAGACGCAGTATTCTGGGAAATCGAGTGTGCCTCCTGGCTAGGTGATTCGCACTGAAGTTCTTTTTCCCGATTTCTCTCTCTCATCATATTACCAACCCTTTCTTATCCTCTGAATCTAGGAATTCATCGATCTGTATATCTATGATTTGCCATGGTAATGGCATTGCTCTGCAACAAAAAAAAAGTTTTATTTTTATTTTTTATTTTTTAATGTTTATATTTTAAAAAAATTTTTTATGTTTTATCTAATTTTTTGTTTTTAAAAAATGTTTCTTTTTTGATTTTTATCTAAAAAGAAAAAAGTTTTTTATTTTTTATTTTTATTTTAAGAGAATTTATTTTAAAAATTTTTTTTAATTTTAAAAAAGAAAAATTATTTTTTATTTAAAAAATATTATTATATATATAAATATTTTTCTTTAAATTTTTTAAATTTTATAAATTTTTTTTTATTTTATAATTTTTATAATTTTTTTATAATTTTTACAATTTTGTCATTTTTTTTTATTTTATAATTTTTATAATATTTTTTTATTTTAATTTTTATTTAAATTAAAAAAAAAAGAAAATTAGTTTATATTTTTATTTTTATTTATAAAATATTTCTCTATATACATATTTTTGTATATATTCTATTCTTTTTCATTACATATTCATTTTTTATTATAATTTTAATATTATTTTTGAATTGAACTCTAGATAAGGCTACATATAATTATTCATGGAAAAAAACTGATTTAGATAAATATAATCTCAAATTTGTGATTTTTTGACCTTGTACCTTATTTATGATTATTGCAAAAGACAATTTAATAGAAAATTGTCTTCTAATTAATTGAAATAAGAGATCCGAATCAATTGATATCTATCATATTTAAGGTATAAAAACTTTTTTTTCTTTATTGATTTCTGTTAGGATTTCTATATCAATAATATGTTGTTGGTATTCCTTAATTATTAATCTAGTCTTTCTGCTGACCCTTTTTTTTTTTTCAAAAATTTCCTTTTTAGGCAATTCTTGGAGAGAAGTCGCAAAAACAACGGAGAAGAGAATACAACATGGAGAGGAATAAAAGACCCCAATACGCGAATAGCAGGCCG